CTTTGGTCTACTCCACGTGTTCCACCCTATCCGCCCCACAATCAGAAGTCGGACATTTAGCCTTTCTGGAACCCCATCCCACAGTTCCTTTGCCATTGCTCCTCCTTTCAGGGCCTGTTTCAACACCTTCCTCTTCGCCCATGCCTTTGGTCAACCTCCTACCCCCATCCTTCCTGCCCTCCAACACTCCTGATCCCAACCGCCAGCTCGGGCGCACGTCCTTGACTGACCAGTGCTTTGGGATGTCCTCCCAATGTAAAAAGCGCTACACAAACATAATTTAATGCTGTTGTTTTAAAACATATTCCCTAGAAAATTATACTACATGTGAAATGATCTGTCTCATACCAAATAATAATCCTTGCATTGCATTTTATATAGTGCCTCATCATGTCATCGAGACGTCTCAAAGCGCTTCACAGAAAATACTGTAAAGTGAATTGCCTATATAGGATGGAATATCGAAAATGCTGGAAAGGAGACAATTTTTTTTGTTTCACATCTATTCTGCTAATTGAAAACGAAAGATTGAATCCAGAGCTGCAGATAACATCCAACTCAAGTTGACTACTGTGGAAGTGGATTTTCTGAGCTTACTATCCAAAAGCTCTGGCACAGACTCTGCCCTGAAATCCAAGTGGAAAATTTAAATGTGATCCTTGTTTGAAGTGCTACACCAGCCATGGGTTTGATGGCAGCCCTGGGGGCCCTGATGCAGAAGTGCCAACAGCCAGCAAATTTGGGTACTTGGAGACAGCAAGTTCAGTTAAGTCCAGATACATTGAGGGTTCTCCAGTCAAGTACCCATTAGGACCTCCAGTGCCTTCATTGGAAACTCCATCCAACTTATATGGGGAGTTTGAGGAGGCGAAGGTCAACTTCTTCAAGCTTGGAAAATTGGACATGAAAATTCACTCTTCATTTTGGAGCTGAAATTCCACAGTACTTAACAAGCAACAGCTTCCAAATCAATGCTGAGTTTGAGGATTTTCACAATTCTGCACAACATTTGAAATTTGAAGCCTAATCTGTTTTGAGTTACTGAAATGGTTAAATATTACAAGACAGATCCTATGCAGATCCAATTTGACTGCCAGTCATGTTTCATTCTGTGTTGACAATAGTCTGGATGTTAGCCAGTATTGCTACTTTTCACATTCACTTTATTAGAGCTGTCATCAGGGTAGAGTGACCTGGAGTGCCTGAGGTCCAGTATCAATGCAAACCTGGAGCCAATTGGCTTGTTTTTCCTCCTAATCCAGAATTCGTTTGCATTTTGCATTTAGCCCTTTTACACAAAATTACCAGTTTGTTTAAAATCAAGGAAACAGATTTTTACAGTGATAAATGAACTAATTTTCTGTTAAGATAACAAAGCTCCTTTAACATATAAAGGATCCCTAGCTAGTATGAATGTTATTTCAATACAGCATCTGTTTTACTAAAGACATAATAAAATGCACCACAAGGACTACTTTCCCCTTGCGCTAATTTTGAAAATTACAATAATTTCTCAAAAATATTTCATTATTTTGAAAATTGTTCAGAATCATAGAGGTTACTTTAAATTCCACAACTTGGGTGAGCAGCCAGTTCTCAAGTACAGTTATATTGGATCCAAGAATTAGTCAATTATCTTTTGTAGGAGCTTATGCCACATTTTTTGCTTGTTGCGTTTCTCTAAAAATCGAATCCCACCGCCTCCTTCACTGTTTACAGTCTTTGGGGAAGAAGGAAGCCAGGTTAACGTTGCAATACCCAAAGCATTTCCTATAATGAAACACATTTTCTGATGTAGCTTATTGTGCCTAATGCTGCAAGGCAAGTTCCCCATGTGTAATAAGCAACAGAATGATATAAACAGTGTGCAATACATCATCTCAATGGCCCACTACCTCATTGGTGAATGTTGAAATCCCCACTGAACAACCTAAATTTTGTTTATTTCCTTCAATCTTATAGAATTATCTCCAAAGTTTTAGATTGGGTATTTGTTTTCTATACTAGATGATGTAATACAGCCTCGAACCATAGAATCCTACAGCACAGAAGGAAGCCATTTGGCCCATCATGCCTGTGCCAATTCTTCGAAAGAGCTTTCCAATTAGTCCCACTCACCCACAATTTTTTTCTTTTCAAGTAAATATCCAATTCCCTTTTAAACGTTATTAATGAATCCGCTTCCACTGCCTCACTTTTATTTTTTTTTACAGAAGTACAAATTACAGTAATTTAAATTGCAACAATTCTGCCCATCGAGTCTAAGGATGAGGCTTCCCCTTAACTTGAATTAACCACATGAACCCAATTCCCTACCCTTGGCTATTCTTTCATTCCAAATGGTTATACAACTCTAATTTAAATGTTATTATAGACTCAGCCTCAATAGCTACATGAAGACATTGGGGTAAGTGATAAATGCTTTACATTACACAGAGTCCACTAATGTTAGGTCATTTGTCAAAATAAATCTAATCTAATGAACATTTACAAAATATTTTCATTGGCTCTTCAAGACAAAGGGTCTTGACTAAAGACCCTTAGTCTTGAATATTTTTGTGCTGGAAAATCTGGCAGTTGTGATAGAACTGTATTTTCTGATCCGTTGACTAAATATTGTGTTGAGCGTAGGACATAAAATAAGGAATGTAGGAACATCTAAATGACGACATTTGGTGTTTTCATATACTCCCTTATTTCACAATCACCATTACTGCACTGAGCATGGATGAGGTTACCCGTAACCGCTGTGCACAAATGCAATGTACTCAACAGTCCATTGCTGGCTAGAACCCAAAGCACAATTTATAAAAACAATAGGGCATTCTGATGAGCTGAGCAATTTCAATTCATTCATCTGTCTATTCAAGTGTTTCAATATTAAAAGTGGAAGTTACATATGTATAAGTAATATAAATTCGGTCCGCACATTCAGGTGGACGTCAAAGATCCAATGGCACTATTCTAAAAGAGAAGGGAGTTTCTCCTGGCGTCTGGCCAATAATCCCCCAAATAAGATTAATCATTCACTTCACGGCTGCTTACGAGACATTGTTGTGCACATATGGACTGTCATGTTCGCCTACAAATATAGAGTTACTACATTGTACTTTATATCTTGTGAAGCGCTTTGAGACATCCTCCTGATAGGAAAGGTGCTATACCAAATGCAATGATTATTATATGTATATTTCTAGTCAGGGAAGCCCTGTCCTCTCTTTAGTTGCAAAATGTTAATGGAAACAGAGAGCACATTGGAATGCGCCTTAAAAACAGGGGTTTAATCTGTGTTGCTTTATAGGTAAAGTGGTATGTAAAATAAACTTCTAAATTGATATAAAAATATTGTTTTATATTCTGGTTCACATACTGTGGCATTCTGATCTACCAACAGCAGTGTTCCACATCCTTAACTGAAGTTATAGGCCGGAAAATCACATGATTAGTATTAGAGATTTCATTCCCCTAATCATTTTTTTGGGAAATGTTCTCTTATAAATAATCCAAACCAATTGGCTTCAATGTCCTCACCCACAAGTATAAATCGCTTCATGTCCGAGGACCTCGCTATCTCTCATCTTTGCCTACTCCACTTCTTGGCTTGTCACAACTTCTCAGCTAACTCACTTATGCTGTGCCGCCTCCCCAAAGCCGATTTTAGAAAGTCAGCATTTATACCAGCCGCTTTACTAAGCAAAGAGATGCAGAGTGGAGTCCACTTCCTCCTAGCACACTGGATCATTAAGGACTTTAATCTGCTCAACAGGTCATGTTACCTCTTCAAACCTCCATGCAGTTGAATCTAATCTAAGGCCTGTTGGATCAATGCTAACTCAGCATAATGCTCCCTCCCAGGGCACCCTCATGGGTCTCTTGTAAAATAATGGACTTGTCTAACACTGGTACTAACCCAGCCTTGTGTGGTTGGGAACTCTCACTGATGTAACCTACTGATTAGCTTCATTTTCCTAATGAACTCCTTAGCCTCTTGCCATTCTTGGTCATTAAATTCTCTTTACAGTGTTCCTAGCTTGCTCTGAGGAGGCTTCTAGTACTAATTTAAAGCCCCTCCGTTTCAGCCTAATAGCTCTCTTTCCCTTTCCAGTTACTTTGACAGGATCCTAAGTGTGGATGAGTGGCTAGCATGGATAGCGCTTTGAAGCTTGGGACCAATACAGTGGAGTTTCGGAAGTGAATTTACACACTACTATTCTCAGCCTTGGTGTTAGGAGCGCAGATGAACTGAAGTTGAACGCCCAAGTTATAGATAAGGGGAAAGCATACCAAAGTTATTAGTAAGATATTGATAACTTCTTTAAAAAAAGAAGTTGCTTAAACATCTGGATATTAAATGAATAGAGTTTACAGGTATATGTAAAGACACAGCTAATCAATATTCTAAACATTATGGGTCAGGTCATGTTGAAACCATGGGATACCATTTGTGGGAGGCAGTTAAGGTGAATAAACTAATGTCATACTGATTACATGGAGTTTGATTCCAAATTTCCTGTGGATTTTCCCAGTGATTATTAACCTAACTCAGGAGATTAAATAAATTATCTCATAATACAGACTGTACATTGAAATCTAAACTGAAATTTATCAGAAGTTTATTAAACAGCTAATCCTGCACATTCCTGGATCTATCTTTCTGGAACTCTACCTCAGTTTCAATTTCTGTACTTGCAACCTCAGTAAACGACATCAGCATCTGAGTGGATTTCCATATTCACTATCTACAAATCCTTTTACGAATATCAAAATTAGGCCACATTAACTGTACCCGTTGAAAGGAATTAGTTCAATGAACTAACTCAGCATTTCTCATTCCATACATCAATGCCTTTGATTTTATTATAATAAGACTCCAGTTGTACGCTTGAAATGTTCGCTGATCAAGAAGACACAGACTCCAAACACTCACAGGCACATAAAGGTTCCTAATGCTTTTCACATTATGTATAGATCAGCAGAATAAGATGTACGTGGTCACATACCTCTCAGTGGTGTTGGTACACTCTGGAAAGACAATGCTACAGCCAAAGAGCATGGTGTACTGATAGCACTGCAGCTGACTGAGCTGACTGAAGATGTAGAGGAGCATTTCCAAGTCACTGGTGTTGAAGTCTGTGAGATTGGGCGGTAGAGCAGTCTGATTGTAGGGTAGTATTTTACACTGGCTGTAACTGATAGTTGTACAGGCATCTGTAGGGGACAGACAGATAGAATTTAAAAAGTCAATATGAATCCTATCGTTTGTAGACTTCATCGTATTGAATTTTGCGTCAGTGAGGATAAATTTTAACTGATGGCAAAGTAATCTATATGTGCACAAAACTATACATAACAACGTTTCATCTCATTTCATACATAACAGTTTCATTTCATTAATTTTCATTTCATCATTCCTGCTATCTTCCATTTACTGCATCCAGATCTAGTAAGTTAAACATTTTACAGAGCAAAATGGTATCCCATTGATATTGAGATCTAATTTGCAATATTAATAAACTGGATTTGTTGTGTCAACATTAACTTCCAGTTTACAGCATTTGTGGGCAGAAAATTCCAAGTTGGCAAAGTCTGAAAAAAGGCCGAGGAGTTAATTGCCAGCAGGAAACAGCTGGCTGCTTTGCTAGACAACTCACATCGCAAACCGAAAGTCATAATTACACAAGAGATCATCTTACAAATATCGGAAATTAGATCCCATTATGTGAAATGTGATTTATGTGGCAGGTTGGATTTAAATCTATTGAGTTTTTTGGGGTGGATTTATATTCGGAAAAACAGCAGTGAACAATTTTAACCAGTGGGGATTACTCAAGAATCCAAATAACAGAATCCTGTATTATATTTATGTTACCTCTAGTCTTTTACCATATGCAAAGAAAGTAATGCATATGGTAAATGACTAGTGTAACACGAATAGGGTATATGATTATGTGGTGGGGAGGCGTTGGAGGCCAGTAGCCAATGTGGAATATGGGGATCACATTGCCATCATTGAGTGCCAGAGTTAGGCCCGGAATGGGAATCAGCTGAAGCTCCAGGCTGTGGAAATCACAGGAATTGAGACTGTGGTGGAGTAAGCCAGTGAGGATCAGCAGCACGAGATCTGCTTCCAAACACTCGGGGGGGTAGCAAACAGAGGAGCTGCCTGAGCCAGAGCTAACTACCTCCCACAGCACACCCTCTACTGCTTGGAGAAACACCCCTTTCCCAATGGAGAGGTCCAGGTTTCTCCCACTAGGAGGACTCTTAATAATAATAATCCTTACATTTGATATAGTACCTTATCGCGTCATTGAGTCTTTTCAAAGTGCTTCACAGGAATTTACTGAAAAATGTTGTGACTGCGTATTTGTAGGCAAACACAGCAGCTAATTTACACACAGGAACTCTTTTGGTGAATTCCAGCAGAGTGATACTCTTTATACTCTTTATACTTTATAATTTATACTCACGCTTAGGAGAATGAGTCAGGTCAGGAATTAGAATGGATAAGAATGGAGGCAAAGTGGTCTGGGTTTTATATATTTTTCATTACATTTTAAATTCTTCTTTTGTTAACCAATGTCTCACTGACCATCCAACACCCCACTCCCTTCCCCAACCTGCTACACTATCCATTCTAAAAGTCATAATACTTTTTGGATAATGCTATGCCTTTCTGATAGTATCTGAAGTTTTGTTTTACATTTGTTTTGCCAAAAGGTGTCATGATTTCAGGTTAAGATTGTGAAGCACAGTGAAGTGACTTATAATCAAAGTAAATCCAATATGAGCTTCCTGTTACAGATGTAATTTAAAAGCCGCAAAAGTCCATCAGCTATTCATGTTCATTCTATTCAGCGCAGGATCAAGCCCAGTATTTTGAGAATGATAGACTAAAAATCAGGTACCCAGTTGTACCTCAACATTTTGGTTGTCAGACGATCCAAAACATTTTTCAAGTCCTAAAAATGATTATTGTTTTCTTTAAACAAAAGCCAAAATACTGCAGATGCTGGAAATCTGAAATAAAAACAGAAGTCGCTGGGAACACGCAACAGGTCAGGCAGCATCTATGGAGAGAGGAAAGCGAGTTAATGTTTCAAGTCGATGACTTGAAGCGTTCTGACAAAAGGTCATCGACCTGAAACGTTAACTCACTTTCCTCTCTCCATAGATGCTGCTCGCACTCCTGAGTATTCCCAGTGACTTCAGTTATTTTTTCCTTTATTTGACTGTATTCCATTTGCCAATCTCATTTATACTGAACCGTCACTAGAATATAAAGAACTTGTATTTTTACAGTGTGTTACCATGTTAAAATGTCTTAGAGTGTTTCATACATTATTGTGTTTGCTTAGTCATGGCTAACATAGATGTAAGCTGACTATTTAAACTGGACTATCAGTGCATAAGGCCACAATCCTGAGCTTCAAGGACGACTACATATCCAAGAACATTCCCCATCTCCTCACCCAGAGTAGCAGTTATGTAAAGCTCATTCCCAGCTCGTCCACTGATTAACTCCTTCGTCAAATATCTGGCTAAACATCAAACTTTCAGTGAATTAAGAGAAATGATGACACATAGCAATAAAAGGTACAAGTCCTTTCCAATAGTTACAGAGTTTCTAGAACCATGAATTGCATGCCATAGATAGCAACTGGAGTGAGATAAGGGTATAAGATATGGGGATGGGTACATTTTTGAATTGTTTTGGCTTTTAAGAGGAAGAAATTAGAAATTTTTCATCTTACTTTTCACGAAGAGAGGATGTGAATACAGTAAAGTTTATGGTAGAGAATCTGGGAAGAGAAGGAACATAATGAGCCAAATGTTTTTTGTTGCTCCATGTTCTCTCATGTTTAGGTGCTTTTCTTCAAAATAATCAAAGCAGACAGATAATTCTAAGATACCCTGACTGTGCCAGTCAGTGTAAATGTTAAACAATATCTAGTCTGTCAAACCAAGCTCTGAAACCAATAATTTTAGTATTGCTTTCACAGAAAGCATTTCATACTCATTAAAATGCATGAACATGTGAGAAATATACTGTATATTGAAGCTAATGTTCATTATATTGTATAGGTATGATCAGTCAGAATCTGTTTGAATTATTTAAATCAATAATGACGCATCAGTCAAACATTGTAAAAGAAGAATATAGACTAAAATAAATTCTTACCAATGCTGATGTTAAAATCGAAGGATTCCAGTGCAAGGGCAGTATCTGAAGCCAAACTGATAGAGCTGAGGTTGGGAAAGGCAGTGTTGAAAGGAGAGGCACTTGTGGACACCTCAGGAGAACTAAATGCGCCATCTCTCTTGTTAGGCAATGAGCTTGTGTCCTCTAAGTCGAGTAGCGAGTCTGAACTTGTGTCACTAGGACTGACTGCGCTACTTGGTGTAAAAGGCAGCAAATCGGTCTCTTGTAAGCTCTTCATGGTCAAATGTTCTCTACTTGACTCAAGCAACTTGTCTTCTCCATTTTGGTCACCAGCGGGTGAGAGATTTTTTGTCATTACAAATGGGGAAATTGTCCCCAAGTCCATTCCTGCTTGTGCCCCTGAACTGTTTCCTACAAAGCTTATGTAAGGAATCACAGATGCATGTTCGGTCTCACTGGTTGAAAGTATGTCATTTGTATTCTGATCAACGTAGCCATCGCCTATTCCACCTGGTGAAAAGCACAGAGAGAAAGAAACATCACGATGTTATTCACCTGAGATTCCTTCTTTAAAATCACTAAATAATAGGCTATTACTATCTTAAGGCAATCATTTATACAAAATTCAAATTACTGGAGTATTTTGTCATCGCTTTCTGTGGTATAGAGATTGAGAACAGGAAACAGCTTTTAAATTTCCTGCTCCAAAATTGCTCTCTGAGGCAGCTCTACCAAACGCAAAACTCCACGGATTAGAACGCCAGTTACTTTATAAATGTTACTGAAGAACTGGCAGTGAAAATATCTCTTTAGTTCATTGAAAAGCCTCAAAGTTGTAAACTCAACTGTTAAGTTTAAAAAAAAGTATTTTCCCTAATTGGATGTAGTACAAACTTAATCTACAGGATAGTCAATACAGGAGTGCCACTCTGAATCAAACACATTTTTACACCTGAATTTTAACATAATCATAGCATCTTTTTGAAACAGAAACATTGTTAAACCTCTGTATAAAATAGGCCATTAATTAATGCAGGGATCAAGGGAACTTTAAATTTGTTTTGACAAATGTAATACCTGAACCACTTCACTGGGGCATTGAGTAAAATGCTCATGGCAGAATAGGTTAGCACATTGTCCTTTCACCTCTGGAACCTCACTGACAGCAGCCCAGGTTAATGTTATGACACTTTCTTTCTCTGCTGACTGCACAGAATTTTGATGAAATTAATTTAGGCCGTCTCAGCCCATCTCGTGCTGATTGTGGGCCCACAGCATAACTCTGTCCCTCATTGGACTTCAATTGATAATCTGAGAGGCTAACCAAAATGTGCAGCAGAGTGTTATTCTAATGTTGAGGCTGATGTTCGATGTGTTAGGGTGGAGTTGAATAAGATTTGCTCTGCATCTGGTTACTATACACCTAACCTGAGAGTGCTTGATGTGGATACAATGTGTTTGAAATGGGAAACTATTCCACTTGGCTTGACATGCGCTAAAATTCCCTTCAGGAAGCTTCTATTTTTAAAAAGGTACTCTCCATTCTAAATTGGTTGTGTTCACAGAGGTGAGGGATTCCTGCACAAAACAATAAAATATTTTCCCATTTCAGATTCCGAACGTCAACATCAAGTGCCCTCAGGTCTGATATATGATACACAGGAACAGAATAAATTCTCTTCTGCTCTGTCCCTGCCCTGAACTCCAAACTGCCCCCCTGCCTCCCCACCTCCAGCCCCCCATCATTTTCCTGTACTATTATGGGAGTATTCTATTTCCTACACCAGCTATCCGTATGGACCCTGAGCCAGATTAACAATACAGTATTGTGAAGCTACACCTCCCAAGAACTGCGTTGAGAGAGCATAAATCAATTCCACTTTCCTCGCCAACCCCAGTCATCAGGCTAGATTAGAAGACTCCCCTCCCACAAGTTTCTTCAATATATGCTGAACAGCATCAAATGCAACTCACATTCTCAGAGCACTTATAGAGCAGTTTCACTCTTTACCTACATATGCCCACAATTGTCTGGGTGAAGATGGTGACGACAGAATTTATAATAATAATAATAATCCTTGCATTTCACCTCATAATGAGCACCCTATTCCTGAATTTCCGTTTCAGAATCACACTGCTTGAACCACATATGTGAACTGGAACCAAATACACTGTTTGCTCTTTCACTACGACAAAGATAACACAACTTAAAGAATAAATACAGAAATATATCTATGTTTTTATCCTGGATTCAGATCTATGGCTGTAGAATATTTCTGCGGAAAATTCCACCTGGGTCTAGATTTACCCTATGTAGTATTTTTAGAGCACCCAGAATTTGGCAAATTGTTGAATTCAGTCTTATCTCTGAATATGTTCTCTCCAGTGTTTTTTTAAAATAACTTATCGAAAACACGCTTCAAAATTAAAGTTGCATTTAGGAATTAGTCAAATTCTGGACACTCTAAAATGCTACATAAATAATATAAATCTAGACCCAGATGAATTTTTTCTCTGTACACATATTGACACTGGAAAACTAATCCCGAAATAAATATACATAAATATACCTATACAAGAATACCTACTAAGAATAAAAAGGTAAAATTAAAAACAAAATAGATAAAAAACCTCCCCAGTCAGGATAGATAGGCAATGGTTCTTTTATATATGGGGGCTTCTATCTAAAATATAAAGGTATATTTCCTTATTCTGTTCAATCTATGTGTAAACTGCACAATACAATATATTATTGCGCATTAGTTACATAGATTGATTATCTTATTCACTGTAGTCACAGCTTTGTACAAGCTCTTGCAAGGTTGTTCAGGTCAATAGTTTTGTTGGCTTTCTGTTTTTATGCTGAACCATGACTCCATGCAATCTCAGTTGGATAAGACCAAATACAGATAAAAAGAGCGACATGCTGTAAAACTTTTATTACAACCATACAACAGTTTTATTTTCACCAGAATGTTAGCACAGTAGACTTAACCAATGGAAGTTGAAATAGTCATTTGACCAAGCCTTCTCATTTTTGTCTTTTAACGTCAAGAGGAAAGCAGCATCTTAACTACTGCGAAGAAACTCTTTGGAGTTATTCAAAGAATTGCAAGGTAACCTGAAGGAGGAATTCACCTTTGTTGGAGAGGGGCAGTTTGATAAGAATAATCCTTGATTTTAATAATCCTTGCATTTGATAGAATGCCTTATCACACTGTTGAGACGTCTTAGAAGTGATTCACAGAATACATTGTAAAGTTATGTGGGCAAAATGTGGCAGCCAATTGCACACAGTGGTGTCCCACAAATAGTCATGAATTTAGTTTTTTTTAAAAAGCAGGTAGTTCTTAAAGAACAAGGATCTTAGGGGAAACAAAGCTGATATGATTTAGCCAAGCTTGCCTTCTTCATGCTACAGACCATCCTCTGCAACAACCGTTTTGTCACAGACAATATGACAACTTTTGTTAAAGCCTTTCATATGAGTACCTGGATTAAACAGTTGGTGCTGAGAAAGTCTGGTACACAACTTTGGACTTGGACAGGCATCAAGTTGGCTGGCATGCCACAGGGTCCTCCCACCGTGCTGAGAGTAGACACTTTCAAATAGTTCTCAACTCTGAGGCTTGAACCAACAGCTGCTGGAAGCTGTTACCAGGGCTTGGAATCCACCTTGATTGGTTTGCAGAAAGGTAAGCAGATGCTGCTCAAGCTGTGCACCTCTAATTTGTGAAACCATCGCTCAATGGGTCGGGACGTGTGTCCAAGCTGTAGACAGGAAGATGGTGACAATGCTCTCATGCATTTCATACTGAGCTCAGAGGGAACTCCTGATACCTGTCAAAAACATAGTGTGGAGTCCTGTAGCTCAGTGGTTAGAGCACTCGCTTTGCAAGCGAGAGACCTGAGTTCAATTCCAGGCAGAGGGCGAAACCTTGGCCAAGTTTCCTTACTCCACACAGAGCCTAATAATAATCCCTCCAAAACCAAAAAATTGGCCTTTTTCAATCTACGACTGTTTGTGGGACATTGCTGTGCGCAATTGACTGCCGCGTTCGCCCACAAATATACAGTCAATTCACTTTACAGTGTGTTCTGTGAAGCGCTTTGGGACGTCCTCCCGACGTGAAAAGCGCTATATCAAATGCAAGGATAAATGCAACTGAGGGCTCAAAACTGTGTTTGTCAGATGTCAAATGTCCAACTACAACAACAACTTGCATTTATATAGTGCCCTCCATGTGAGTAGCATCTTAGAATACTGAACAATGTTTGATGCTGAGCCAGGGAGAAAGGGAAGTTGACTGCAGGTACGGTCAGAGAAAAGTGTGATTGAAGATGGGTAAAAAAGAGGCAAAGGAGAGGGATTGAAGCAGGGAGTTCCATAGGTTTGGGGCATAGTGGGTGAAGGCACGGCCTCCAGTGTTGGAGAGCAGAGGTTGGGGGATGGCAGAAGGCCTTAGTCGGCTGACGAAGGCCGTGAGTAGAGGAGTGCTGTGTGAGCAGGTTGGAGAAGACGGTGCGTGGGCATGAAGTGATTTGTAAGTGAGTATGAGAATCTTGAAAACAATCCTTTCTGTGACTCGGAGCCAGTGGAGCCAGGCTGGGGTGTTGGGGATGAAGAGTTTGCTATGGGTGAGGATACGAGCTGTGGACTTTGTGATTGATGAAGCTGTGGAGGCCAACAAGGAGTGCATTGGAGAAGTCAATGTGGAAAGTGACAAAGGCATGGGTGAGGGTTTCATCAACATTGAGTGTTCGGGGAACTAGTGACTATCCTCCTTGAGGGGTAAGTAAATAGAGTCTCCTTAGAACCAAGTCAATCCTTTGTGGTGGTCTCCGTAGTCCGATTCCTGAACCAGGCCAGTCCACAGTATTCCACAACACTGATGACAGCACAGCCAGTCTGGCTCATCAGCAGGACTAGAAAGGGCAGACCAGCCATTTAGGCCTGAGGCGTTTCCCATTCAAACATGTTGCATGGCAGTGCTTTGTGATTTCAGCTGGTTACAATCCAGCAGTACCTCAACGCACACTTTGGAGACCCAATCCTTGTCTCTTGCCAACCTGCACCTAATACTTTCCAAAATTTAGGTAAACAGCTAAAATATCAGGTGGAAATCAATTTAGTCAACACATGTTTACATTTTTCAGGTTATCAGTACCATTATCTGAATACATTGCTTACTTAAAAAAAATCGACATTTGCCACATTTCTGACCAACAATATAAATAGGATATTTTTTTAAGAAAAAGTGAATCATGCTCCAGGCTCTACAACCAAGTGTTCAGGTTCAGCACAAAATGCTAACATGTTTATTTACATTCAGTTCTCCAAATGATTATTCAACTTCATTGCTATTTGACTACAACAACAAAATTACATTTATAGAGCGCCTTTCATGTCGGGAGGACGTCCCAAAGCACTGGACAGTCAGGGGTCGGGACCTGAGCATGGGGGAGGGGTGGGGTAGGAGTGAGGGAAGGGAGAAAGGTGGGAGAGCGACCGAAGGCACGATCGAAGAGAAGACTATCTCTCTTTAACTATTTATAATCATTATGTACTATTTGTTTTAACTGCTTTATTCAACTAAAATTACTATGTTTTAATCCCCAAATAATGGGAAAGTAGGCATCTTTATTTGGAGACTTGTTTGATCACATTTCAGATATACAGTATATCAGACCAGCAGCCGAGCCTCACTGAGCTAATGTTTCTGTTGGGAATTTTCTTTCGCATGAAAGTACCCTACAAATGTCATGATCTATGGAGGTCAAATTTTCTTCATTAACCCAGGGTCAACATGCTTTAACATGAGAATGAGCTCAACATTGTTCATCCGCACAACATACATATTCAACATGCATATTCAACCTCGCCTCAGGCAATGTGTTTTTGATTCTCAGAGCGATGAACCATGGTATAGTCTGACACCAAACCGGGGAGCCAGGGGTAATAATTGTTAAAAATCTGTCTTGTATTTTCATACAAATGTTTAATTAAAAATTACAAAAGCAGCCTGCAAGTTATCCAACGTTGAAGGAACTTACTTAATAATAATAAAATAATAGTGCCATCTCAAGACAGGCAAACCTTCTTTTAAAGATTTTGCCTAGAAATTGTTAACAATGTAAATGGTGATCTAGTTTTCAGATGTAAAATTCATGCCAGGGACTTGGTGGCATTCCAAAACAAAAAATATATGACAACTAGTGACACAGTTCACTTCTGACCACCTCCCTCCTCCAATACTTCTCAAAAGGATTCACTGTGAAATACAGATTTTTTACAATTAGCACTTTATTCTCCGAGACAAGATGGTACCCTACATGACGGGAGCTCTATAAATACTGTATATAAACAATAAAGTTATTGTTGTATTCACACCATTTTCTGCAAACTGTATTCTTACTAACTGTATTTCTGCATCTCAGAACATGTAGACTTTATTGTAAATTTGACATCTCCGATATCAGCCTGCGATTGTGGAGCTACATGAACAATACAACAACGTCTCGGAATGATCAACAATGGCATAATCCGACCTCGAGTTGGGGAGAAAGGGGAGGTGATCATCAGCACCTGAGAAGAGGAAAGTCTTCAGGTGCGATCTAAAAATAGGTAAAGCGGGGGCAAGGCATTGGGATTGAGGTAGGGAGTTCCAGAAATTCAGGGTGTAGTGACTGAAAGCACGGGCATCAATGGTGGAGAGGAGGAGTCGAAGGACAAGCAGAAAACCTGAGATGGCTGATTGAAGGCGGCGGGTGGAGGAGTGGGTATGAGCAGGTTGGAGAGGTAGGATATGCCAGGGCATGAAGTGATTTGTAGGCAAGTGTGAAGATCTTGAAATTGAACCGTTCTGCCAGGGGAGCCTGGTAAGGACTGAGGTGATGGGGGCGAGGAGATTGGTAGTGATGAGGATACAAGTGGCAGAGTATTGAACTAGTTGGACTTTGTAAATGGTGAAGCTGGGAAGACTGGCGAGGAGTGCATTGAGAAATGGAGGTGGGAGATGACAAAAGCAACCAATGTTCAGCAATACAAACAGGCAGAAAAGAATTTGCTTACGTCTGCACCTGCACTATTGAATTTACTATTCACACACACATACCATTCACATAATATTCACCTCTGACCACACATCTATTTGTAGAGTTACAGGTCGGGTCTGATTCGGGGGATGATCAAGGAGAATAAAAAGAAAATTTGTACATGGAGTTTCATGAACAAAGCAACTCCAGGAAAGGATCAAGGACTCTGTAACCTAGGAACTTAAGCCTTAAAACTCCCAGCAACTTAATGTTGTTCTTGGCTTTATATAGTATGGGATACTAATCGTCTAATAGCCACACAGAATGATAGATTATAACAAACTTACACTTTCTGTATCATTTCCCAATCATCCTCCAAAGTCATACATGAATCCTCTCCAACGGGAGCAAATAAATATTTTGGAGGAGTGGGGTATGAGCAGGTTAGAAGTCGGGATATGTTTGGGCATGATGCTCTCAGCGACGCTACCTCACGTGAAGGGCACTATATAAATGCAAGAATATACTGTAAAGTGGATTGATTGTGTATTTTATGGGCAAAACTTGGTAGCCAATTGTGCACAGCAGTGTCCCACAAACAGTCCTGGATTGAGTGACCAAACGCTTATTTTTTTTGGAGGGATTATTACCCCTGGAAAGCAATCCGAATCGACTAACAACTGGGTTCCGACTTACTTTGAGGGAAACGAGAGGCGTGTAGAGGAACAAAACTTGCCTAAGGTTTCGTCCCACATGGAAGTCAAACCCGGGTCCTCTCGCTTGCGAGGCGAGTGCTCTAACTGTATGTTACAGGACTCCTCTTTTTCTCCTTGAGATGCTCAAAGAAGAAAAAAAGTTTGTACATGGAGTTTCACAAACTAAGCAACTCCAGGAAAGCACCAAGGACATAGTAACCTAGGAAATGAAGCCTTAAAACCCAGCAACTTAAGTATGTTCTAGGCTTTATAAAGTCTCAGATTCGAATCGTCCAATATCCACATAGAACAATAGACTATAACAAACTAACATTTTCTGTAACATTTCCCAATCCCCTCTGAAACCTTTGCCATCCAAGGTCATACGCGAACACTCTCCAACAGGAGCGAATAACTATTTGTTAACAAGATAGCTAGAATTGTTTCCACTGATGGTTCATGACATAATCCCTACAGCAAACGTGTTGAAGGTGGGTCAGTAAAATCTAAGTACCTTGTGCTGTGCACACTGAAATCAAACCAAGAGCATGACAGTCACTGGCAAGTACAGTGTCGAGGTTATCTTACCCATAAATGCTAAGAGGATTGCAAGTACACAGATGAGGGCGCAGACTGATGGAATAAGGATAAACAGCAGGAGGCGGAGGTGCTTGACAGATCCCATCTTCTGAGGAATAGCGTCGCCCACACCACCTTCATCTGTGCCCGGCATCTGCTCAAGGAGTAAAGAGAGAAAGACACCAGTGACTTTATCAGCTTGCTGTGGTTCACAAACACCGAGTGCAGATGAATCACATATAAAAAAAATTTAAAAAAGGAATAAAACGGTGGCAAGATTCAGATTTACAATTTCATGTCACAGCCCTGGAGTTGTTCTGGGTTTTGGGGTCAGGATTTCTCAGGCGAGGTTAATGTTTGGTGATCAGCACACAGGCAGGTAAGGCTGCCTTGCAATTGCTCCAATGCAACCAACCAATTCATTGCAGTGAAACAAACATACATTGAAACAGAGGGAATTGACAGTAGTGTTGAACATCCCCGGGTGCAATTTAACACTCGTGCAATTTTTTTTTTAAAAATGTTAGAAATTATTTGAATGTTGAACGCTTTCCAAATCGAAATTGTGCAGTCGTGTCGTTTCTGTTTAGACGAATAAAATAACATCAGAGAGACCCCTCGAGCTGGACTCGAACACACAAGGAGTTTGCTGCAACTCTGCTGCGCCTTTGCTTTGCAAAGTGCTGCGAGGTATTATATAGCTGATCCAACCCCTCACTCCTCAGGGTGCGATCACTCAATGTTAGGACTTCAATAGTTTCCCCTGCAACCATTTCAAGACCTGGTTTCCAGCAAACAGCCGATTAAACTGGTGGGAACTGAAATACACACAGGATCTGCTCAAGACCCCCATGTACAGGGTATCCAACTGCCATCAGTTCAATCGTCGCCTGTTTGCTGTCAGTGAGATCTTGAAAAGGGTTGAAGGGCATCAATTGAACTCCTAATATTTTGCGTTTCCAATGACCCATCTCGGCTTCTCCTTGGTTCTGAGTCACCGCTCTCACATGATGTCCTGTAACTCAGT